AAAAAAAAAAAAAAAATCATACCCAACCTTTATTTGCCGAAAGGGCAAAAAAAAGTAGCCTATGCAAAAGCCTCGCTCAAGCACAACAACATATAAGAGTGCATTTAAATACACTTGAGATCTCACTACTTTGTCGTTTCCTCAAACATATATAGCCACGAGCGGAAACTCGAATTCATCGAATCGACATGGGTCGTAGGAGTTCCACCACAACCTGAGCAAGCAGCAGTTGAGAGACATTTTCTCTAAATATAGCAAGGAAAAAAAACTCCGTGTAGCTGGGGAAGGAAGAGTTGAAGACAGTTTTTGAGTACCTCGGTGTTCAGTTGCCAAGTTACCAGGCCGAGCGCACCCTCCAATATCTCAATGCCAATGAGGATCAATACATAACAAACGAGGAGCTCGATGGCCTCGTGGATTATGCTTATGCCTATGGTTTCCGCGGATGAAAACATCAGCGCGCATCTAAACCCATGGGTGAATCTATCCCTATAGTACTCGTACTTGTTATATTTCGTCATGTTTAATTTGTGTTGTGTTATTGAATAAAAGATGTTCTATGTGTGTGTGTGAGAGTGTTGCACACCTGCTAATGCACGAATATACGCACTAGAAATGCATGTACTTGAATTATGTGTTCTGTTTCTTTCATCTATTATGATGTAATCAAGAGAGAGAGCTATTAATTCCTCAATATATAGTACTACAAATTTAAAATATACACACACATATACTAAATTAATATATGTTCTTCTTCTCATTATTACTTACGATATGTATGGGTTTTAGTTTTTGTTAATTAGCGTGCTAGTTTTAGTCTGCCTTTTCAAAATTGACGAGAGGAGAAAATCTGATATTTCAAAATATATAAAAAATAAAATGGCAGCCTTTTTTTTTCTTTTTCTTTTTCAAACAATTATTGTATTAAAGGGGGCATAAGGATTACTCCTACTCATGAACATATATGTTTATGGTTGTGTAACCTTCCTTAACCATGGAGTTTACAGAAAACCCAACCTTACGGTATATGTCTCACTTTGCCCTTAAATATTCAAAGAGAGCAATTCTTAGCAAGCAATCTTACTTGCCCTCCTGATTTGTGCATACTTCATGCTAAAGGCTGGTTCCTTCAGCCAATTTAAAAAACGACAGTTTTTGTACATAATGAAGGAATAACTGCGTTTGAGATTGTTTAATTTCTTACCATCTCCATATAGTACACAACTAAAAATATTAATTTGTTATAATTAGAATAATTTAATTACTGTTTTGTATA